TCGAATTGAACGAAAAAAGCAAGTAAAGAGGCGCTGTTTTCGTAAATATTAGAGGAATTATTGGTGGCCAGGTGCTTCTAATCAACAGTTTAACTTTCACGCATTGACTATTATTATCACCGTAAAGACAGGTGTTCTAACTGTGTGTTCACCTATAGCATACGTATGCTTTATCCCACAGTGCTGACTTAACAACTCACATTTAATGAGCCATTGAAAGAACACGGCTACGCAATTATGTCTTGCGCATCAAAGGCTGCTAAAAGAACGCTTCTTTTCGAAAGCGGGACGGTGCATGAAATAAAGACCTCCCATACTAGCGTGTTTTAGACACATTAAACTTTTTTGGATGTGCTTAATCGTGAGAAATAAGGCTGCATCTGTGAAAAAAATTGCGTCAAATGCTAGCCTTTGAAATGTCTGTGGTGTGCGGTGCAATATAATGCTTCCTGAATTTACTTGATACTGAGATAAGTAAACGATAGAAGATTGCCTCCTTGCACTATAAATCATTTAAAATATAATAACTCGTTTACTGAAGACACATAATCGAAACAAATCGTTTTAATTTTGTTTCCAAATGACTCTGATCCACAGCAAACACTTATTCGTTGCTTAAGCTTTCTTTCCATGTTTTCTGTGAGAAAAATCATCGACAATGCTGCTAATGGAACTAAATGCGATGGTTGCTGCATAATTTTTTCATGAAAAGAAAACGTTCTAAGAGTACAAATGCCTTGGTAGTTTGCACCAATATACCTGCTTTTGAATGTAATCAGCTGCACAAACAACTAAAATATCCGGCAGCCTGTATTCTCCACTATTGGCCTCAAAAGGAGTCTTCAATTTCGATTGGGTCATGCCAACCATCGCTTTCTTTCTTGCTCAACCTCTTCGTAAAGGCAGAGACTGCGTTTGTGCCAACTCCGATAAAATTAAATTTTACAAGATTAGCAATAACTCTTTTCTATAAATTCTTGGCAATGACTTGTAAGGGAGCCTTTTAAATAATAATTGAGGATTAGCCTTTGCATAGAAATGGGACAACAAATCGGCATTTTACGAGTAATTCGTATTTTTCTAATATTTGCAGATTAATAGTTTTGTATTAAAAATGCAATGGTGTTTTTGTCTGCAGTTAGCCACGGTATTGTTATTAGATTGAGGTTATAGCTTTCTAACTATCTCTTGTGATGCATACAGTTTTTTTAAATTTGTGTGAAATCACGAAGCCGCTATTTCGGGTATTTATCCTGCTTATTTTTAGAAGCTGATTGTTTTTCCTTTGGTTTATTAATAACAAGACACTGCTTATCAAATTAGTTTTAAAAAATCAATGAATGCATAGTCTTCACAATGGGATACTTTGTTTTCAAACCCGATTTCACTTCTATTGATGTCGACCTTTGAATCTTGTATTAAATTTAATACATAAAAGTAATGTCATCTACCGCAAGGGCCTTAGGATTTCAAACCTTTTTGAGCCACATTATTATTAAATTATTTGCTAAGAAATTGGAAAACGGTAACTTTTAAGTGTATTTGTACTTTTCACGTAACTTTGGGTGCAAAAGTATTTTATGTGTTCAAGGAAAATGCATGAAATAAATACCTAAGCTAAATTGCACCAAGATAATTCATTATGAAGTTAAAAAAATCATAACACACGCTCTCGTATTTTTAATACTAATTAAAAATGCTAAAGATGAATTTATCTAGGCTTCGATTAACATTATATATGCAATCGGGCGTGTGTCAGTTTCCTGGGCTACTACCAAACACTAAACCTACCCCGTCCTTTACTTAAAACATATATTAAAAAAGCCCCGAACCACACCTATTTTTTTTGGTTTTGACTGCAATAATAATAAATTAAACCGTATCGTAAGCATTAAAGTTTGGTCCCTAGATTATCCAAATTCTAGAAACGAAAACAAGTATTGACGTCAAATGGTCCCTTGGCACTAATCATTTCTAGAAAATTGTTTCCGTCGGCCGCACTTTTTTGCCATTATGAACTTAAATATCCTTAATATAAAGTGGGAAATCGCAATAATATAAAGTAATTCATTTTTAAAAATCCTAAAAATGTCAATACTTCAAATTGATTCTTACATGGATTCCTGATTGCCAGTTAAAAAGCCTCCATATTATGCAGGGTAGATTAAAAAGAAAAGCCTGAATCATGAGCACAAACGGTACCCATTGATAATATAATATTTTCCTTTCCTCTCGCTCCTGTGTTGACTCTGGAACAGTTTTTTGTTTTGTAGGAAGGAAATAAGTGCTTGTCACCCAGCATACTGACTCCGCATACTCTTCCTGCGCACGGGTGAATTCCGTCGGCACCCAGCAGGCGATCGGCTTCCCAATGTACTGCCGAGCTGAGACAACAAGCGTGAAAATGACAAGCAGGAGAGTTGTGAAGTTGTGACTAAACCGATCGGCAAAATCATCGTCACGTCGGTGTTTTCCTGCGTCGAGTTTGAACTTGGTCAAACCCGCAAAGAAGTGGGTGTCCATTGCGGCAGTTTAATGCAAGAAATCTTATCCTAAACGGAATGTCATCCTATGTGTCGACAATGCCATGCGTGCCAAACTAATGTGAACGCAGCACACTGGTCCTGGTGAACTATAATCAGCGCTCCCAGAAATGAGGTGGCTGATTGGCCGGTTGCTGGTTGGCTGTTTTCGATGATGTAACTGGACGAGGGTGTGCCTACTTCCACTACTGCTGTCATTGGGAAAAGCTATTACAAATGGCATTTCTGAAGGCGCATTCTCGTCTGCGTGGCTCCGAATCACACTTAAATATTTAGATGCACAATGCACGAAAATGTGCAATCCCTTGCGCAATTTTTTTAAAAAAAACTCGCTTTTGTGGTGAAAAATGAATAACCCGTTTTAAATGATGTCTTAATAATTACTTGCTGCGGTACCAAAACGCACATGCTGTTTCTAAAACCCAATTATACTTCTAGGTCTTAATAAATATGAGTACATTTGACATTTTCTTATCAAGTATTGAAGTTTACTTTACAAGAACGGTGCATTTGCTAGTGGATTATAATCAAATCTAGTAATTTTAAAACGTTCCTTCTTGCTTTTTTTCTTAATCACGGTTTTTGTCAAAATTTACATTAAATCTATCAAATGAATTATACAAGTTGCCTTTTTATGATAGTAAATTTAAACGTTGAAATCGCATGTTTTGCCTGATTTAAGAATTGTAACTGATGCCACTTTAAATTGTGCGTATTTACTCTTTTCAGTATTCCAATAAGATTTTTTAGGCCATTGAATCAAATTAAAAAGTACCTTAGTATGGAGGGTTTTGGTAATTTTTGCTGAAAAAAGTGATACCCGTGACAAAATTTTCCTGTCTTAGTGAATATTTTCGTGGTGATTTCCTTGGTGATTAAACAAAATGGTTTGCAGCAGTCATACAATAACCTTTGCCATGAATTCAAATATTAATTAATAACGAGATCTTACTTAAATTTCTCCTGTAATTCCGGAAAATTCGTGTATGCAAATGATTATTTGAAGACTTTTTTTCACTATTATAATTATTCAAACCAACAGCGCGCTTCGTTTCATTCATACGAGATGTATCATAAATTGAGCCTGATGGCTGTGGAAAAATCAAATAAATGACATTCAATAATCCAATCAAGTGGCCACGTGCTAAGCTAAATGCTAAATTTCTTCTCAAATTTATTTTCATGAATCCGTACTAACTCTACCAAAGGCAACCGCATGTCTGTAGTTATCTAAATAGTGCGCAATGCTGATAAGGAAATAGATGATTAAAATATGAGGCAGGCTAGAGAAACCCGGATGTCAATGCAGGCCTGTGGTCAGGCGCTCTAGCAATTTGTTACACAATCAGTCGATCGATTGCTCGATAAGCGGTTATCTTTGGTCACGGCAATTATTGAACCGTTGTCAAATCGTCTTACCGAACACACAAAAAGTGAAAACGTCATAGACTTCAGGAAAATTTAATTAAACATTGAATAAAGGCACGAAAGCTAGGTATCAAACCGGAACCTCGAAAATCAGAGTAGATCTGGAAGTATTTAAAAAACAATTTGATTGTTAAAGTTACTTTCGATCAGTGATCCGCGATAGTGTACAATCTGAGATTTTTAATAGCTTGGTAGCTCATAGACTAGTCATAAGAATGTTGTACAATACCCAATTGAGATCGTATCGCGCATACTCGATCTACTCAATAAAAGATAATTATGACCATTATCAGAAGTGTTCTTAAACCTATCATTAAATCTGTTGGGAGGACGTCACATTAATTCGGGGTGTCAGAGAACTCAGTATACGCTAAAAAACTTGTGAATATTTAGCAACTTGCTAACGCCTGCTTCTGTGTTCTTCATGGGACTTACAGTGTATTATAAACGTAGTCGACATTTCAATCAATTAATCCGTCTAAGCTCTGTTTAATTTTTTAACCAACATTCGATTTACTAATGTGCGATCTCATTATTATTTTGTCATTAATCTAGAAACAGTTAACCGCCAGGTTACTTATTACTTACTCTGTAAAAATACCACGTCATCTAAAAGCAGGCGTCTGTATCTTAACCAGCATTTAACAGAGCTAACCAGACCTGAAAGGTTTTACTGTCTATTTTGTGAAGAGGTTTTCCGTCACCACACTACAATCTGAACACTGAACTCAAACATTGCCAAGGATACCCTTAGTATTATGCTTCGCGTGTATTCACTGCCTACAGTTTAACATAATAAGACTAATAACCCAATAAAAGTGGCAGCAGAATACACCTAAACTAAACTTTTATAATCCATGGAATCCCGGTTCCATGAACATTCACACAGATCCAGCCCTAAATCGAATAAAAATTTCAGTTAATGTCACATTCAAGACTGATCGAAGTTTAGAAATTACCTTTGCAATGCAAATAACATGAGCCTCTGGTGCAAAATGGGGCACACCGGCCCTTTTAATTGAAATTGACGAGCTACAAATATCAGAGTTTGCCCTAATCAATTATTGTAATAATTTCATTTCAAATGTTAATTCGAAGTTTATTATAGGCTCGTGTGTGCATCGTTTTGACGTGGAATATGTGCTTTCCAACGCATGAGCCAACCTACCATTTGGGATTTCTCAGAGCATTGGAGATGTAATGCATCTAGTCTAGAGATCGACCGTAGCATTGATTGCTGAGCCCATTGACGCTAAAATACTCAATCTTTAAAATTATTTGAAATTTGAAAACTAGATAAGACCCGTAAGCCAACCAAGGGTAAAACACTAACTATCGGAACAAATTACATTTGACAGCATAGACCTCAAATAATGAAGCAAATCTGCATTTATCAACCATATAGATTCATACACCTAGACACCATTCCGATTTCACGAGCTTACAATGTCACTGGTTATTCATCTCTGAAAGTTAAACTGTTGAATAGAAGCACCTGGCCACCAATAATTCCTCTAATATTTACGAAAACAGCGCCTCTTTACTTGCTTTTTTCGTTCAATTCGACACCCTTCTATCGATTGCGAGTTCAAAACCTCGAACACCATTGAATACAGTTTACTCTGAGACAGAGGAGGCTGACCCATGTTACCACGTTGGCTCTTCTGTCTTGTGTGATGAAGCATTTTGCTAGTGCGCTTGCAGACTGAATTCGGAATCACGTCCTGCTACTCTAGGTCCACACGCGGTGCAGGTAATCAGAAAACTGCCCACAGAGCAGACACTTGCTAAAAACGTGAATCACTGGTGGTAGAAGACACCAGAATTTCGCGGTCGGTATCTCATTGCTTGCACTGTCTACCTAAGCTTTTGTTTCAGCGGCACTGTCGTTTGTAACTTGAGCGCAGTTGTACGAGGCAAAAGCGGGATTCGGATATTGCGAAAGTGGTGCTCTGCCACAGGGTACGACCCTGACACGGTCAGGCACTTCTTTCCATGTCCAGCATATGTCTGTTAGCTCATGCTCCATTTAGCCTAATCAGGTAGTATCTTGAAGTAGAAGGAGAGTTAAGATGGATTGTTGGTGACGACTTGTGGAGTTTGGTCAATGTTAGTCGTTTTTTCCGTTCGCTGAGAATGAAGTTAGTATGTGAGGAGGAGCACTGCTAGTCACACATGTGGTGGTTTTTGCGAATCGAAAGAGATTGAGACTGATCTTAGTTTTGGCTTAGTTTTGTTGCTTTCTGAAATTGTGTGCATTCGGTCGAAAAGGCATGACATTAACCTGCGATCTCGTTTGCCGATTTGTGCTATTTGTAGGCACAATTCCTAGTTTCGCCTTTTTACCTCGGAAGTCTAAATCCAGGGAGAATTTCATTTTGTGGCACGCAATCATAGTTCCAAATTTGTTTTAAAAAGATGTGCAACAATTAGCGCTGCTGAATACGATAATAACCAGGACATGAATATTTCGGAAATCCCTGCACACTCCAGCATCTATTCAAATGTATGGCACTCATGTATGTATGACATGGTGCAGTGTCAAACTCAAAGATTTCCGCTGTTAGAAGTTAAAAAAAAATTAAAAAGAAAAAAGTCACCAAATCATGACAGATTTACGCCAACTGTCATTTTCTATCTCGTGTAGATGCAGTGCATTATTATTAATAAATTTATTCCTTGATGTTAATGATTTAACCAGTTTGCGACGCAATTTCGTCAAACGCTATCTTTAATGACTGCGTGGACTATTTTGAAATTGTATTTATTATTTAAGTAGGGCCAAAACGAGTTCATTTTCGGTGTCTGTACTTAAGACTTCAGGGGTATGTATTTTAGAATATGCACGTGTTCCAATATTTCCATATATACTTCCCTTACGAAGCGTGAGATTTGAAAATAACATCTTCCAAAACCATTAAAGACGCCTTTTGTTAAGTACTGATTCAGGAAATACTTTTGACCGATAGAGACAGCTAAGTTCAATTTTGTCTTTAATTAGGCCTAATGCTCTTAGATAGTGTTATTTTCGTGCGTAAAATATGGCCTGCACCAAATGTTTTAAGCCTTTCTCCGCCCTCCTTTGACCCACATTTTATGATCACAATAGACTGGAGGATGGATTGCATTTGTCGGGGTTTAATTCTTACACGTTAGTAAAAAAATTGCAGCTAATTAACACAAAAAATTTAAATTAAATCAGGAATCAACGTGAAGTCTCTAATTTAGATTCCGCTTAAATCATTCATCCAAATTATCTTTGCAGTTGTACTGGTAAAAAAAATTATATAAACCCGAGAAATTAACGTGGTGAGTAAAAATACATAGTTAAAGTTTAAACTGTCTTGCAATTCAAGTAAATAAGAGAACTTCAGTAAATCAGTCATTAGCGATTTGGATGCTGTACTTCCGGAGCACGCAGGGCATTGGATACCGTTTTCTATGTATGAAATCCTTGCGTAACTAAGACACAAATGTTGAAATGTAAATTTTAAGCAGATTTATCCTACGTGCCTACTGTGTCTCTATAAAGATGTCAAATTCATTAAATGT